TGATAACAATCATAAATATTACTCCTGGCTGATTTCAAGCACGAACACCGAAAATATTGTCACGTCTTAGACCAGTCGCTACTTTTTCAGTCATTCAAATGGCTATATCTCAGGCAGTTTTAGAGATATTTTATTAAATTTTGGCATGTGTTTGGCCATAAAGGGGTTCTCTAGCATATATTCCGTTTTTTTAAATTGCCCCAAATTAAAAACAAAATATCTCAAGAAATCTAAATTTTGAGGTAGAAAATCCCTAGATTTAGATATATTTTATTTGGAATATTTCGAGATAGCCATTTTGTTTGCCATGCTCTATCATCCCTCGCCCGTAAACGGTGTTTTGCCACCTTCGCCCATGCAGGGGGGGGGGGGGTTGGTGCGAACCCCCCCTGGCGTTTGAAAACGGAGCGTCGTAGAGCTAAGCGGAAAAGACCAACGGATTGCTCTCAACGAGATCTCGCGATTGGTGGTATATTTTTTGGTCCTAGGTCAACATTTGACCTACTTATGACCGGTCAAAGGTCAAATTTTCGGAAAAATCTAACTTTTTCAGATTTCCACGCCGATTGCGGCAAAACGGTAAGAGATATCGACTTAAAACCTTCACTATCGTGATCCTTGATCAATTCTCTATCGTTTGGTGTGTATTTCGATGTCATAACTCTAAAAATGATGCGTTGGGAGCATCGGAAGTCTGCAAGGTCATTTGTGCATTGGGTAACGTCAGGCGTGTGACGTCACTGACCTGACCCTGACCCAAAATGAACTACAAGAAACAACCGACGATGCCTGAAATGGATAGCAAATTCGAATTCAGGGCATCAAAATACCCCGAAAAGGCATACAAGTGCAAGAAGTCATTACAGGTCAACCGAGGTCACTGACCTGACCTTGACCTTTAGTAACCTTGAAAAGGTCAACGGACATTGTGCCAATGTCAAATCAGCCAGTTATGATTCTAAAACAATCCATCAGTGTGTCAGGTCAGTCGGCATTTATACCAATGTGAAGCAATCTCCAATTTAGCGTAAATCTGGCCGGAGGTTGTTTCCTTTATGACGTCATAACTCCGTGACCTGACATGACCTTGACAAAAAAAAAACCAAAAGTTGCGCAAAGGATGCCCCATAGGGTACTGAAAATTTGAGCAGGCTATCTGAAACGGTTCGGCGTGTAGCTAAGAAAAACCTCAGGGGGGGGGGGGGGGTTGCACCACCCCCCCCCCTACATGGGCGAGGGTTATACATACGGTTCCATTTTTGGGTCGCTAAGTTGAAACCCTGATTTTCTGCGATTTTTCACCGTGACCAGCTTTTTCGACGAAAAATCGCCGAACATGACCTCAGTTTGACCTCTATAACTCGTGACCTGAGATGACCTGGGACCTAATTTTTCCAGGAGTTGTGTAGAATTGATGTCCAAAGAGGCACTAAAAGTTTCAAGTCGAAACTCGCAGCCGTTTCGGTGTTATCGGCGAAAACCCACAAGGGAGCCCAATTTGCCCCCCCCCCCCCAACGGGTCGCGGGTTAAAGACATCATCTGTGATCAAAACTAACACGATATTCGTGATCAGCACCCCAGAAAACCCTGTAGCAGCCACACTTTACGACTTTCTAACAGGTCCCGATTTTCCCGAATTTTGGGTCATTGACCTGACCTGGAAGGTCAACCGATGAACTAGGACCTTAAAATTGGGTATCATCGGCTTCCTCTCGTGACGGGCAGCACGCTGGTTTTTCCGCGAAGCTCTAGCTCGATCAGAGGCCAAACGCTAAGGGGGTCTTACCCAACTCCCCTTTTGTGCCGTCGAAGGACGCGAAATGGCCTGTGCCGTGCGAGGTTTAAGGGTCGGTAGGCTGGGTTTTGTTGGATATACCGCACAAAAAATAACACCCATTATGCGTGTTTTTTTGTGCAAATTGACACTATTAATGGGTGTCACACGACTCTCATAACGGTAGTATGAGTGTCGTAGTAGCCTCTTTGCTCAGAGCCGTGGGTGTTCTATTCTATGAGTTTTTCAGCTCCATCCATACTCTAATGGTGTGTCGAGTGTAGGTCAACACGCACAAGCGTGAGGTAAACCTCGCCGGTACAGGGGGGGGGGTGATGCAACCCCCCTAAGGTTTTTCTAAAAAAAAACTCACGTAAAAAGCGGCCGATCGCAACGAAACTTTCAGTACCCTTGCATTGATTGATCAATGTTACACCTACCCTGAAAATTTCATGACAATGACCCAAATGACCTTTGACCTGTGACCTCTTTTCCGAGACCATGTTTGGCTGGAATCGCGATTCGGCGTATGTCGGCTCGCATTAGCCACGCGTTTGCAAGCTTTTCGAGGTTTCAAACCTTCAAACATGTGATTTGATGCTGCTCCCATGTATTAGGGTGGGTGTCAAGGTCACCTGAAGGACAGGTCAGGTCATTGACCTTTGCTGACCTCGGTTCACTTTTTCGAGTTTTACATGTTTCTAGGCTAGTTTTTGGAGCTTAATTCGAATTTAGCAACCATTTGAACATTAACGAAGTAGTTTCGGTGCCTTCGTAACATGTTACGAAGCTGTCAGAGACGGATGACCGGTAGGTACTACGAATACCCGTCACGACCCCTACCGGTTGACCTGACCTGACCTGACCCGACCTGGTCTAAACGCTTAACGACATCATCTGTGATCAAAACTAACACGATATTCGTGATCAGCACCCCGGAAAAACCCCTAGCAGCCGCACTTTACGACTTTCTAACAGGTCCCGATATTCCCGATTTTTGAGTCATTGACCTGACCTGGAAGGTCAACCAATGACCTGGGACCTTAACCCGCGCCCTGATGGGGTCTGCCGAGCAGCGCGGTCTGATGGGGGGGGGGGCCATTTTGGCCCCCCCCCCTAAGATCTCGAGAACCACGCAACATAGCGACAAGCGGTAAACGGCGTTGGATAGCCCCAACGGGGAACAACCTTGTGACCCAATTTCATTGACCTCGGTCAAACCGATGACGTCACAGGTCAGGTCAAAGGTCGAATTTTCACCGTTTACAGGCATTTCAAGAAATGCGTTGTAAAATCGAGTAAAATGCATTTCATTGAAAATCATCGATGGGGAAATGTTCTTCAAACACATATTTTGCTATTTGAGGTCACTGATACCAGGTCAGGTCACAGAGGTCAGGTCACTGGGGGGGGGGGGGTCACAATATAAAAGTGTCGTGTGATACATGTTTTATGGTCCATTTTGCATGACAAGTGCGATAATGTGGGTCAGGCAGACTTTTGGGCCAGCTTAGGTCACGTTTTGGTCAAGGTCAGGTCAACGTCAGGTCAAGGTCAGGTCAAGGTCAGGTCAAATTAGGTCAAATTTCAAAGTTGATATTTTTGCATAAAATGGGTATCGATTCAATGCAGCTCGTCACGGGGAGTTCAATGCTGGTCTCCGTTCTGCGCTACGAGGTCTAGAATTGCTAAAAATTGAGTTCAAAAATTTCACGTCATCAATTTTTAACAGTTTTTTCGCTATAACTTGGCCAAAAAAGAGGTATCGATCTAAAATTTGGTATGTATATCAAAGAGTGCAGGCACTATCACATATATTCCGTTTTTTTCGAAATTCGAAAAAATGGATTTTTTTTAGTTTTTTTTTCCCAAAAAAATCATTTTTTTATTTTTTGGGGTCAAAATCCCAAAGTTTCGAGAATCCGAGATAGCAGTTTTGTAGCGCCGTCTTTTCTCTACACAACCACATAAAGAACTTTAAAATTGCTTGTTAACTGTAGAATTGGTGAGCGTTTCAAGATGTCATGTTTTTTGCTCATTTTTACTCGAACATGACCTCAGTTTGACCTCAATTAACTCCTGACCTGAGGTGACCTGTGACTTGAAATTTTGTGTGAAGGTGTCAAATTGATGCCCGGTAAGGTACCCAAAATTTGGCGGCGCTGCGCGCCGCCGTTTTCTCGCTATTTAAGAAAAACCACAGGGGGGGGGGGGGCAAAATGGCCCCCCCCCATCAGGGCGCGGGTTAAAATTGGGTATCATTGGCTTCCTCTCGTGACGGGCAACACGCTCGTTTTTTCCGCGAAGCTCTAGCTCCATCAGGGGCCAAACGCGAGGGGGGTCGTACCCCCCCCCCCTTGTGCCGTCGAAGGACTCAAAATGGCCTGTGCCGGCGAGGGTTAAAGGGACCCTCCCACCTTAACATTAGTTTTGAGTTGAGATAGCCAAGTTTGCGGCCAGGCTCAGAAACCACCATTTATCCTGGTCGCAACCCCCGCAGCTTTATGGTGTTCAAGAAATTTCTTCCCTTTACTTGCAGGGTGGGACCAGCGTGGTCCCTATCTCTTAACCATTACGGGAATCTGATGACGTCAGCAGGCTTTCGAACGTCCGTTAAATGTTTGACTAAAACGTTTTGTAGCACGCGGTGGTATATGCTTCGTTGCGCGCAACAAATGCCGCACTTTTAAATAAATTCGCTAGGAACAGCGGAGATCCCAAAAAGTAAACAAAAGTAAAAGTCTAATATCTTGAAAACCGGTGAATATTTTTCGATGAAATTTGGTAGATATTCGTTTTCGCTCTTTCTGAACCGAGCGACATCACTTTCATGCCAATTCATAAACTTTTTTGAAGGTGGGAGGGTCCCTTTAAGGTGGTCACTTTAAATGTCATTCAGTGAACGATAAATAATCTGAACCATTTTTCTTCATTATAGGAGCCTACCGTGAAGCCTATGAGCCGAGCTGAGCTCGCCGATTTGCATCTCAGTCTTCTCAAGTTGGAACGAGATGAAGAAAAGCGACAAAAGCATATGCAAGAAGATCCTCCACTGCAATTGATGGTCCATGAAAAGCTGCAGCATGAGACCATCCTAACGGACAAATTTGGAGGACGCATCGAAAAACACAGCATTGAACTAGGCAACATACTAACTATTACGGAGTTCCCTATAGATATATCCAAACATGACCCGGGAGACAACGTCCTACTCCATCACTCACCTGGAACCTACGGCGTGGTGACTGAGGTCACCGAAAAGAAGATCGCGCTGGAATGCTGCTGCAAACCAGAGCTTCTTATCGTCGGAAAAAATGTCTACATCAACTTGGCTGCGCATTCCGACTACTCTCAGCTGTCAGGAATGCTGCACTGGCTTAAAAATGTAGACTTGGGGACTAAGTTCATAACACCTCTCACAGGCATGATCCGAAAGCTGTTCAACGAATACGAGACACTGTCTGCTGATTGTGTACACATCCCGAGGCACACTCCCGTGCTAGACCCACTCGTATACACAAGCCGTCCTTTGGACCCATCACAGCGTCAGGCGGTGGAGCTGGCGCTCCGGAATCAGCCCCTGACCGTCATCCACGGCCCGCCCGGCACCGGCAAGACCACCACCGTCGTAGAGGTGATCATCCAGCACGTGGAGCGGAATCAGCGTGTGCTGGTCTGCGCGCCCTCCAACAAGGCCGTTGACAACGTGCTAAGTGGCATCTGGGAGGAATACAAGAGCGGACGCTGCATAATGAGCATGGATGACTTTATTCGTCTTGGGCAGCTGGAACAAATGCAGGAAGACCTGAAAATGTTCTCATTAGAGGCTCAGATGGAAAAATCTGAGGAACGTTTTATGAAGAACCAATTGATAAAAACCATAAGAATTGAGAAAGTTTTGACCGAAGCCTTTGTAGTGTTGAGCACTCTGACGTATGTGCGCAAAGTGCATCAAATGCACCATACGTCCCAGTTTGCGCCACAGTTCGACCTCTTGGTGATCGATGAGTGCAACAATGCGACGGAGGCCGCCTGCTGGCTGGCCATCCCGCTCGCCAAGAAGGTGGTGCTGGTGGGCGACCCGTGCCAGCTGCCGCCGACCATTCTCAGTCAGGAGGCGGCCAGCCGCGGTCTGGCCGTCTCGCTGATGGAGCGGCAGATGAAGCTGCATGGTGAGGGTATCGTCCACATGCTCGACACCCAGTACCGGATGCACGCGATGATCCAGGAGTGGTCTTCGCAGAACCTGTACGGCGGCAGGCTCAAGGCGGCACCGACAGTCGCCAGCCGCCTGTTGACTCAGCTGCCCGGCGTGCAGAGCACGAGTCAGACGCAGCCCACCCTGATGCTCGTAGATACAGCTGGCTGCAAGCTCCTAGAATCACAGGACGCCAAGACCAAGTCCTACTGCAACAAAGGCGAGGCGAATCTCGTGGTGTGTCATGTCTCGTCGCTGGTGAAGGCCGGACTGCCGACTGACTCCATTGGCGTCATCACCCCGTACAAGCACCAGGTGGGGCTGATCACCGGCCGTCTGCGCAAGGCAAATTTGAACGTGGAGGTGAACTCTGTGGACGGGTTCCAAGGTCGCGAAAAGGAGGCCATCCTGCTCTCTCTGGTGCGCTCCAACCCGCGCCGCCAGGTGGGCTTCGTGGGCGACCGGCGGCGGCTGAACGTGGCGGTGACGCGCGCGCGGCGGCACCTGTTCGTCGTCTGCGACACATCCACCGTGTGTCAGGATCGCACGATTCTCTCGCTGGTCAGTCACCTGAGGAGGAATGGAGAGCTGCGTGAGACCAGCGGCAAGCTCTGCCCGCATGGCAGGACCTGCCAGATCGTCGAGGACGACGATGACGTCGACGATCTTGGTGTCAGACTCGGAGCGACAATCCTGCTGCCGTAGGACCATATGCGCGAGGACGCCGCCAGACGCCACTTGATGCCCGACGCTTCTTGTTCTAGTTTGTTAGTCGCTGGCTACGCGGCAATCTGGTTCAAAGAAAATGACACAGATTAGTGAACATAAAAAGATAAAAACTGAAAAGCTGGCTGAACATTAAGTGTTCATAGAAAGTTCACTGAACGTACTACAGTAAAGAAAAACGCTGCGCATTCGATGTCGCCCCAAAAGTCGCCCCAAAAGGCGTTATACTGGTATTACGTTTACTCATTATTTATGAGAACACAAGTTATAGGACACAAACTAAGGGCAAGTTCTATCGAATTTCTGAAACTGTGAACCACAAACCGTCTTTACATTGATCTAGAGTCACCAAATTTGCACAGTTGTAAAAGTTTCCATGGGTTCACCTAACATGCTAATTCACTGTTTCTAAGTACCAGAGGTACCTATCGCCGGGGGTCGTGCCATATCGTCTCATTGCCGTCCCCGTTAGGAAGAAGAGTAGCCGGCCGATGTTTCATCATTGGGGCTTAAATATATATTTTATTCACTTAAAGTCCCTTGAAGTGTGGTGAAAACCGTTGGGATACAGTGGGCAATCTTCGATCCGCCTTTATCGATCCGCCTTTAATCCCTTATCCCACCTGCGTCGTTTTTGTAACGTCATCAAGGCAGAGGTGGAGCTTTTCCAGGGAGCTAAAAAATTGTCAAACATACAATGTCCGATTGTATAGTTAAATAAAATGCTACTCTGAATCGATTCTTATCATTATCAGAGGCAATACTTTGCATTATACAGACATTGCAAAGCTCCTCAATGCGAAAAGGAATGATTTTTAATCCTCGCCCTCACATGCGGGGGAGGATTGCCACCCTCCCAGGTAGTTTTTCTGCTCTACACTCCACATTTTTTTAAAGCTACATAGAAGCCTGATTTTTGGTATAGCTGCTTCTCTATCCTTTCTCAGCGTCCACTAAAAATTTCAAAGTTTCTGTGGTTTGGGTTTCGGAGATATGACCTTGTTTTTCAGGTCATGTCATGACCCAAATGAACAATACTCAACATCTTACGTTGGCTATGGGTCTTGTGAGCTTTTGACAACTTGAATTCGGAATGTTTTTGCTAGTCTTACCTCCCACCAATCATGAAACATGTTATTCGACGATGTGCAGACTGCAGATGTCAGGGTCATGGTCAAGGTCAACCTAGGACATCTAAAAACATTGCATTTTAGGCTTGCTGAATTTACTTTTCGTGAAGTTTTTTGACATTTTTGGTAAAAGCTTCTCAGATCATGATCTCATGTAATAGGGGCACACAAACCAATCGGTGCACACATCAGTATACACACAGACACACACAGACATACAAACACGTATCATTGCCCTTGACCTAGCTTGACCTGAAATGGCCACAGCCATTTCCAGTGAAAACCTAGTCGGATAGTGTGACAAAGAGCTGTTCTAGCTGGCCTGGCACCACAAAGCGCGCGCTCATCGGTATATGATGAGCACCGCACGTGATATTCCAACGGTGGCCCCAAACAGCAACATTTTTAGTTTGACCTGAACTGGAAGGTCAATGATTGACCTAATGAGGTAAAATTGGGTACCATTGGATTTGTCTCTTCCCAAAAAATATGTTGATTTTTGTCGCAAAGCTCTTTCTCCAGCAGGAACGAAATGGCGCCCTCCCCCCATGTGCGTTCTAGGATGGGAAAATGGCATGTGCGGGCGAGGGTTAACCCGCGCGGGGCTGGGGTCTCCAGCCGAACGCGCGGGGCTGGGGGGGGGGGTAAATTTTACCCCCCCTGTTATCTCCCGAACTAATGGACCGATTTGGAAAATTCAAACGCCAATCGAAAGATCTCATCACGAACAACTAAAAACATGTACTTAATTTTAAGTTTGAGGTCAAGGTCAAGGTCAGGTCAAGGGTACAAATTGCAAGTTCCTACAGTATCGGCCTTGCACCGTAGTTGCCGAAGAATGGAGTCATGGACTGAGACTGATCGCCCAAAACGTGTTCTTAGGCTACCAAAACAATATTCGTTGCATACAATATCATTCAGAGGTCAAGGTCAAGGTCAGGTCAGGTCAGGTCAGGTCACCAAAAACAAAATATAGAAAAGGGCATGTGCGACACATGTTTTATGGGTCATTTTACTCATATAATTCAATAGGCACACTCAATAAGTGATATGGACCACCTCTGGATGAATTTCAGGTCGAGGTCAGGTCAAGGTCAGGTCAAGTGAGGTCAAATTTTGAAGTTGGTTGCTAAGGCCTAAAAAGGTGTCTATCTGATGCAGTTTTTCACGGCGAGTCGAATGGTGCTATTTTTGTTTCCGTACGAGGTCTAGAACTTCCAAAAAAGTCATTTTTCAAAAATTTTGTGTGTCATGACGTCATACAATTTTGAATACCTCCCACATTTTTGAACCGATTCTTCTAAAACTTGGTATGTAGGTACACATAGACCACTTCTCTGACATATATTCCGGTTTTTTCGATACACTCAAAATTTTGGATTTTATAGCTATTTTCCCAAAAAAGTCAGTTTTTTGGAAAAATTTTGGCCAAAATCCAAAATTTTCAAAAAATCGAGATAGCCATTTGATAGACAAAGTAGAATTACGTAAATCCTTTTTTGTTACGTCTTGATTCCTTTAAAAATGAAGATGTTAGCGGCGTTTGAACTTTTGCCGTTTTTGAGGCGAAAATGGCGAACATGACGTCACTAAAACGTCAATTTCTCAAAAATTTTCTGACGGATTTCGCTCAAATTTTCAGGGAACGTGTCAAATTGATGTGAGAAAAGGTACTGAAAGTTTGGCGGCGCTGCGCGCCGCCGTTTTTGAGATATTGCAAAAATTCGCGAGGGGGGGTAAAATTTACCCCCCCCCCCCCAGCCCCGCGCGGGTTAAAGCAACAAAGTCTTATAAATCAGCTGAAATTGATGGGACAAAACGCTTACCACTTGTTGGTGGGGAAAATGGCAAGTTAGTAAAAATTTGGAATCCCATGAAGTTCTGCGCGTAAGTTCCTTTTAGCTTATGTCGTGTATAGCTGCATTGTGCATAGTCATGACCAAGATTATGCAAAAGGTTTGTAAATCGTTAAATTCGCACCGTCATTAATTTCAAGAAGCATTCAATGTATCAGTCTCCTAAAAACGAAAGTTGCAGTCTTCTTCGAATCCAAATAGCCAGGGATCCCAATAAGGCTATTACCAACTCAAAACAAATGTAGAGCTGGGATGGTCACTTTAACCAGATCCTTGGGACCGGTGACACGTCCTGACTGAGGGAACGGTCTCGCTTCATGTCCCGGAGCAGCCCTCTGACCTGCCGGGCCCGAGAAATCGGGATAGGCCCAGTGTGCGCCACTAGTGTCATCTGGGGTCAGTGAGAGCAAGCGTGCGCCTTTCCTACTTTGACTTGGTGGATACAGGAATCGTTGCGCAGTATTGCGGTATATGTACGACAAAAGCCCGGGCTGGGCACCAAAAATAGGTAGAAACTAGGTGACTTGCTTGCTCCGCGCGCATGATTGGGCCACAGGAGATTTGCAGCAGCCAAACGACGGGATTAGCCAATTCGAGCAGTGAATGTTTATGTGAAATCTAGCAGCAGCGATTTACCTAACTGGGCCAGGGGACAGGTCACAGTAGTTGACATGGCGAATCATTCTGACATGAATTCAGAAGGTTGACAGTGGTAATGCTGGCGTGCTAAGCTACGCTACAAAACAGCCCTGTGTAGGCAGCATGCTCAGTAGGAGAAAAAGAGCAGTGAAGTAGAAGTAGTGTACATGTAGCGGGCTGCTATGGCGATACACAATAGGAAGGCCGATTAGGAAACAGAAGTAAGCAAAGTGTCAAAGCGGCATTAGGCGACACACTGACCGGATTAGACACAGTCAGAATGACTTGCTGGGATTAGCTGGACTGGTCTGGTCCGATTGCCTGGCAGAGCTTATCGGATCCGGGGTTTGTTGGCGTCAGCTGCGGTTGCTGGCGGCAGCCGGTGTCGATGACTGACGGCCCTGCTGGTTAACTGCATGGTGGCGAGAAATGTAGTCAGGGACGGCATAAGGAAGTCAAAAGGCTCGGAGTCTTAGCCAGGCATAGTTCAGGGTCGCCGTGCCGGGGTGATGGATAGATTGTGGGTTTTATAGGGAACATCAAGGTCGGCTCCGCACACTGAACACAGCCTGTTACCAGGGTGCACTGTCGTGGAAGTGCTCCGAGCGCGCACCCCGCCCTTAACACGTTTTTAAAGTAACTTTGAAATATGAGCATGATTGGGCCACAGGAGATTTGCAGCAGCCAAACGACAGCCAAATATGATTTGAGCACAATGAAATGAGTTAAGCACACTGAAATGTCAATGTCAGCCTCCTGATGAACTTACGTTAACGATGTCAAACTTTTAGTATAACGGTTAAGGGCCCGTTACGTCAGCGCGTACCGGCACACACACACTCACCCGCCATCATTCACCACTCCAAATACCTACAGCACCGAAAGGGTTAAGCACAGGATGCAGATGCAGCCACGCACTCACTCACTGGCACTCCCAGACGTAAGACTCGCCCCGCAGCGGTTTAGACTCCCCCTATCAAGGGGTGAAGTGTCCGATCGATCACACGACACGGACTACAGACGTTCACACGTCTGAAAGGGGGTCTCACAACCAACAGCGACGCGCTAACATTTCCAGACTAAAAAATCCCAGCACACGGACCACCAGCCGTACCACACGACTGACCACAGGAGTATCTGACCGCTCTTGGACGCCGCCGCCTGACTATACTTCCGATAACGTTTAAGATTACGCCCGATGACGCACCCGCTTCCTAACGCCCAATACGATTGGCCGCAGCCTACAGTTGGCCGTCGACATTGACCACCCGGACAGTCAGAGTGGCCCTCCCACTCAAGGAGCAAGGGCTTCCTCCGGCCACTCCGGGCTCAACGTCATAGCAAGGGTGAAGGA